CCCTATATAAACAATGCTGGTGGTGAACTTCCAGTGGTTTCACAACAGAGAGGTGGAAAAGGAGAACCTGATTTTTGCGAATGTGGCCCCTTTCTTTGTAGAGTACTTTCTTATAGACTGTGAGAGAACAATAAGAATATAAGAATTCTAAATTTGTTAAAATACTTCATCTCTCCTTAATAAAAAAGGAGTGATTAAACTAGGCTGCCCTTAGAAATTATTGTGTTATTACTTTTGCAAATTGATAGATTTCATTGAAGAAGCCTTAGTTATTGAAAATATTGAGTATGATAACTGAAGAACATGCTATTGCATTGATAATTGATCTTTCTGGGTGATATTTATGAGTTTATCAACTTTGCCTGACCACTGCAAAATATCAGTTGGGTGTTACTCTTAAATGTGCTTAGTGTGAACTTTGAGGAAGGGTGGTTTGTGGCTTCCAACAGTACTTCTTGAGGCATGTGATTCAAATGCCTGTAGACACTTGATTAATTTTACTGTCATGAGACTAAGTTGACCAGAGAAACATATATAATAGCTACTTGGCTTTTTCTCCTCCTGGTTTATATAAGTTCTGTGATGTCGCCCTTTCTGAGTAGGGATCCAACTTCTAAAGTCTCACTCTTGGCAAAGCTGTGTATTTATGCTTGTATTCAGAAGGGAAGGGTTTGTATAAATGCATCTCTATCTGCGGTGCTTAAACTGCTATGGATGTCGAAAGAAACCTCTTCTAGTAGATGAGGAGTTCTGTAATTCTTGTCTGAGAACACTCTCCTTTTCCAAAAAATAATACCAGCAGAGGAGACCACTGCCTTTATGTCATGCTAGCAGTTTGTTTGGTGTGATGTGTGCAGCTCCAGAAAGCTGCAGGTAAGGTGCTGCTGTGTGGGTGATATCAGGAGGTGAAGTTTGAGCTGGGAAAATAGACAACAAACCATAAGCAGTAGAAGGACAGCTCTGTAATAAAGATAATTGCAGTGTACCTAGTAGATGATCAGCCTTTGGAATTAAATCTGACCTTTAAGAAGGAATGTGAGGTACTTAACACCCAGCAAGTGCTAGAAAATGTAAGTAGGGAGACCCAACACATTCTGATGTAGGCAACCTTTGGTTTGGTAGTGCTTTGTTGATACATTTTTGTAAGACACTAGTTGCCATCAGTTAACCAGGAGTGAAGATTGCTAAAGCTGCTGGAAAAGTGGTGCAGTTTGAGTGGACTTCCTAAGTTCTGCCATGTGGACCAATATTTTCTGGCCAAGTGAAATGTATGACTTTGCGAATGTCAAAGGGACATAAGCAGGGGTTGTGGTCAAGATCCACTCTTGTGGAATTTGCCAGCAAGAAGGAATTATGACAATTCCTTTGGAAATCTGATTTTCCTAGAGTGGAATAAGCTCACTTTCTACCTCAATACAGTACCTGTGTCACCAACTCACTATTTTTATGCCTTCCTTATAAGTTCTGTTTCTGTGAATGTAGTAGATAAGGTGAAGGTTAATGTACATAGAGGAATTGTAATTAAGGAATGTATAATTGATTCGCTGTGAAGAAAGGTGGTGTTGTCTCCTGTATAATTTTTGACATTCTAAATGGTGTTATCCACATTGTCAATGTTGTATATGCTGCCTATTGTGTAAGGAAAAAACTACACATTGTGTAAGGATTTACTTTTTAAAAGTTTTCTGGACTGTCCTTTTCACTGAGTCCCTGTCATGCCTGCCCTGCTGCTGGGTGCCAGCTGTTACATTGCAGGCGTTTTTAGACTGCCTTCCTCTTCATCCTGTCTTCTGCTGCCAAGCTCTGTTGCCGCCCCAGGAGGCAGCTGTCTTTTGTGGAGGTAAGGTGATGTTCTCTGTACCAAGACGGCTGCACAAGGCACATTATTTCATCTGTCAACCTGGGCAGCAGCAGCGGCACAATTTCCTACTTGCCTGGACTGTAGAGCTCATATTACTTCTATGTCAAGCTCATCCATAACAGGAGTGAAATTTGTTGCTTGCCACTGTGACCCTCCATCGGCAGGCAACACACAATATGGCCGTGGTAGAATCTGAATATATTATCCAGAGGAAACTTGTTTGAGTGATGCCTTGGTTACTTTGGTCTGCCACTTGCTCTGTGCTGTGTCTGGTTTTTGAGGAGTGACTGGTAGCAGTGTGCTTTGCTGTAGATGTGGAAAGGCTGCCAATGGGTGCAGGATTTCAAGGTCCTTGGGTGATATTTCTGTCTGTGCTGAGCTTGAAGCTTCATTGATTGCTCTGATGGACATGAGAATGAAAACAATTTTTCCTTCTTATTTCCTGTTTGACTTTTCTTGGTCTTTTGCCAAGCAATTTAAACTTGGAAAGATGACAGCTAGTCTATGATTCAAGAGGCTATTGCAGCTGTGTGGTTTTCCAGCATGTGTTACTTATGGGCAGTGCACTTTTTGGAACTCTCTGCCACCGAACTGTATGTGTTGCAGTACATCATTGTAGCTGCTTTACTTTAGTCAACAACATTTCATTTAGAAAGGTGAGAGACATCTGTGGATTTCACAGATCCAGCCTAGCTGAGGTCATTCAGTCAGACTGGTGTGTTCGTGAGGACTGCTGGCAGCACTGGAGCTGCTGAATTGCTACTGTTTTTGGCAGCCCTGCCTGTACTCCTGTACTGACTCCTGGGCAGCCTGATCTCCCTCTGGGAGAACATGACCGGGTATGTAGCTGTGGGATATGTTTAACTTTCTGAAGGAGATGGAAGCATGATCCCATGTGTGATACACAGCATCCTACTTTGCTTAAGATCAAGACAGGAGTGAGAAAGGTGATTTCTATACCAATAAGAAAATGACTTATATCTGTAGTTCAGAGTGATATTAATATTGGACTTTATTCCTGAGTTTGAACAGCTGTGACAAAAAAGCCAAATGCTCACTTTGTTCGAATAATGAAGATCTTTGTCTTTTTTCCATGTCTCAGCTGCCCCCTTATTCTAAATAAAGTTAATAGATGCTCAACTGCAGCACAATATGCAATATTTCTGTAGCTCTTAGCAGTCCTAGCTGATGAAATGTGCTTTACTGGTGGCTTGAGATATTTCTGAGTTAATTCAGCAGATATTGCTTTTGTAATAAAAGGCACTTTTTCATGCTCTTTTGCTGTTTTTCTTAAATCTACCATTTATTTACAGATCAGGGCTAAAATAAATGAAGTAGTTTAGAATCAGTTAGGTGGCAGAACTATTCATAGCAATGGTGAAACAGGAGTTTTGTGAATGTGAGTATTTTTGGGATTTTGGTATTCATGGAAATAGGTGAAAGTCTTAGCTCTTTGTATAGATAAACTGGGACCCTGAAAGGCAACACTAACATTTTGAGATGCACGTCTAAACTTTGTCTTTTGAATTGGTCAGCTATTAAAGTGCAGTTGGATAAACTTCATCTCAGTAATAGGTGTTCTGTGTCTTATTGCACTAAGAACACTTTTGGTCTTAATTTCTAGATTCTGCAGACAATTTCAGTGGAATGCACATTCCGGCCTTTTTTTAACATTGATTTTGAGACGTGATACAACTTGTGAAGAAAACACACGTTCAAAGGCTCATTCTGGCTTTTAATGCATGTTTGGTTTTTTGTAGCAGAAGGTCTGTGCTGATCTTGAAAGAGATAATAAAACCTGTATGCTAACAATTGAAATTCATGGGTAAGAGAAAGCAAACAGAAAAAAGTTGAATTAAGATCCCAATATTTTATCACGAGGAAAGTGGTAGAGTAAGACCGAATCCATTATACCCTAAGCCAAAGAGTGGCTTGTGTTCTGAACTACCATAGATTTAATTTTGACTAGGGGATAAAATGCTGATGTGAGTGCTTGTAGTGTATTTGGTAGGTAAAGCAGTTCTACAAGTTTGGAGCAGTCTGTCTCAGGTAGTGAAATGAGATTTTACCCCACCCCGGAATGTTATATTGGTCTAACTGATTTGAATATTGCTTATAGGCTGAAATTAAGATCTCACTGTGGTCTCAGAAAACCAAATATGTTGACTAGATTGTTAGAGAATTGAACATATTGCTTGCATTTTTTGATTAATATTTTGATTAAAAAAAAATTTTCATTATCATTATCATTAAGGAATTTTGTAATTATTAATTACAAATTGATTTTAGGTGAAAAGGGTAGAAACTATCTCTTTGGATGCCTACAGAGTTATTTAGTTAGAAAAATGTATTTTCATTGTTAGGTATACTTAAAGTGGGTTTGTATAACTGAGCTGTGTTTTCTCTTCACTGAGTTTAATGGGAGTATAAATAACCAGTTCGGAGGGGGACCCCTGGATTTATAGATGTCTCAAGCTTTATGTGATAATTCTCACCGAGCATGTAATTGTGGATTCATAATACATTATTGCTGATTATCAATAATGTGTTACTAATTTTAGTGATCATCATGAAATCTGGTAATTTCTGTGAAAGGAAATGTCTCAGAGATTACTATCAGTGTTTAAAAAAACAGTGCCTGTGAGATTTAGTAGCAATAGCAGTTAAATTCCTACCTCCTGTCTCCATAAAGACCAACTTTGTGAGGCTTACTATCCTCACAAGCAAAAGGCTTTAAATGCCAAGTGATAGGAAGAGGGAGCGGGGAGGGAAGTATGCATCTGTTTATAACAGCTAGTGTTAAAAATGTGACTTGGAGTTCTTCCAAAAAATCCCAAACCTTAAGTGCAGTATGATTGATTTGTCTTTTTATCCCTTAATTTTTTTTGACCAGTAAAATCTACCACCCAAATCCTCCCCAGTTCGACTGAGGAAAATCCAGCCTTGACTGGAGTTGTTGCAAATCAGTATAATGGTGTAATAATTCCAGATTGTGGCATTGTTCTTTAAAAGAAACACTTGAAATAATCTAAAAATCCATTGTCTTTTTAGGTACAGGGAAAAAAGGACATAAGTTCTCAGATGAAACCTTTTATAGCCCCTATTGGACTTGACCTTATCATCTCTCTTTTTTTTTCAGCCCATAGCTTCATATTTTTTATAACCATGGAATCAAGGTTATAGTTTCAAGCGAGAAGGATTTTGAGAGAGGGATTTTTAAGAAAACTATTATTGCAGAACCTGAGGGGGAAAAAAACAAAACGTAAGTCACCAAGTCATTGTATTCTTGCTATTGTTGTATGAACTTCATGTTCTGATAACTGATTCTACCATACTTGGGTTTGGGGATTTTTTTGCACAAAATGACACAGATCAGGATTTTATTAAGGTAAATGCTTATAAAACATATTTCTTCAGTTATGTTGCTATATGTAATTTTCAAAATCACTAAGTGTGCCACGGAAGTGGTGCTTGGATCTTAAGGCTTTTCAATAAGCAGACTCAGGAACCATTAGGCATGAAATGAGGTTTTACTTATGTCTAATCATAAGGAATGCTAGTTGTCTATATACAAAATTGTACCAGAAAGCTGGAATTGTGTTAGAATACCCTATTTAGAGACCTCTCATAGGGACTATGGTAACAGATTCCTTAGATGTTGTGTGAATTCTTCTGTGGGTGATGAAACATGTGGCTTGTATTAGCACCCTAGAGAGGGTGCAAAATATTTTTTAAGGTATTTAACTGGTGAGGGAATTCAGAAAACATTGCATCCTGTGTGCCTAAAAGAATTTATAGCTTGTATCTGTCTGGCTTTGTTAAGCTAGCTTCTGATTTGATTATGTTTGTGTAAAAGGGATTTGGGAAATAATCATGCTAGTTCCCTGTAATATTTTGTGAAGAGTTATTATGAGAAAAGAGTTATGAAAAACTCAAAGCTTGCACTTGGACAGGTGTACAAATGTTAATTTTAATTCCTAATATAATAAATAAGATTTGTGTGAAGAAAAATTTATGTTCTTACGAGTCAACCATAGTTGCTATGGTGGACACAAGAGTGGGTTCTGTAAGAAGATTCTGCCCATGTTTATGTGAACTTTTTGTGTTGTTAGGCTTAATAAGGGATGATCAAATGATTTTCTGATATTCTGACAGCCAGAAAAAGTTGCTGCATCTTTCCTCTAGGCTCATTTTTATGAACAAAACCTTCCATTTCCCACAAAAACATGTTGCAAAGCCTTCAGAATTTCACTTTGAGTTATAAATTAATATTAAAATGCCTTTTGTGACACTCACCCTCCTTCTCTGCATTGGCTGCAGTCAAAAGTGTGGTTGATTTAGCGTGAACAAGCTGAGGAAAATGCACAGATAAAAGGACCTTAATTATATTTATCTAACTATTGGAGGATGGGAGCGATTGAAGTGTCTTGGACTGCCATGTAACAGCTGCCAGGCAGTGACTGAAGTGCTTGGGCCCACTGCAGTAATGGTATAACAAGGAGTCATCCGTCATTCTGTGAATGACAAACTTTGTGGCAGTTTAGGCTAACTTTCATTCTGTAATTGAGATTGACTAGTGCACCCATGGGTTGTTGCCACAGTAATTCAAATTTTGTGGGCTGTCTGGAATATACGAATTCATTTCATTTGAATGTCTTGAGCTACAGAAACTTCTCCGTCTGTGGGTTTGGGAAGGGGAGATCCTTGCTGTAGTGAGCCAGCTCTTGGTGGTCCAGACGTAGCTGTGAGCTAACAACTCTGCTGTGGTGCTGTGACAGCTGCGACATGGCGGTTTAGGCAGCTGAATTGGCTGTGAAGGGAAACCAGCTTGTGAGTTGTACTGGTTCGCAACAAAGGCTCCATAGCACAGTAATGCTCTTGATACAGTGTTGGATCCCAAGGAAGAATAGAAGGTTAAGGCAGACATGAAGTAAGACTTCCCAGCTGGTCAGATTGGACTGGGTGATTTCCTGAATGGAAGGCTGCACCTCCACTATAGCCTTTGGAAGTTTTGATCAAATAATTAAACTCTGTGTGTGTGTTTTTTAATCCCTTTTTATTTTTAGTTTGTAAAATTTCCCAGAGCTAGAAATTGTGCAAGTTAATTCTGTATCATGAGGAAATATCTTTTTATTGAAACCTGGGCTGCTGGAGAATTCTATTGTTTTTTGTTGTTTCTACAACATAAGAATTGGAAAATCGTAATTTAATTTTCTAACATGTGTGATACCATAGTTTTTCTGTCTTTCCCCACTAGCAAATTGCTTTTCTGAGGTGAAGACTTTTGATGTATCTGATCTGTCCTTGAACAGAAGGTGTTGATATAGTCCTTGCTATCCTTGTTACCTTTCTGCGCCTCTCAGGTCTTGGATTTGGGTGATCAAGGGACATATTTTTCTGCTCTTTCAGCCCTTTTTGTACTTTCTTTAATATCTAATTTCATTTCAAAATTCAGCATATATTTGTAAGGATACCTTTTAAACTGAGATGTTTGTGTTTGAAAACCATTGAGTTGTCTGATATGTATCTGCCCTTAAAGTAAATGATTCACTTGGAAATGATGTGCCTTGATTAGTTAAAATTCTTCACATGTGTGCAGATGAGCTACAAAGCAAAATGACTTGAACATCTTTCCACGAGGCAGGGCTAGTGTTTCTTTGCTAAACATTTACTTATTTTCAGTTATTATAGATAATATAGTTCAATTAGCTTTGTATCGCATAAAGTGTTTAGGAGACCTGCTTTACACTGGTGACTGACAGTCTGCAGGGTATTTTTAGGGTGAACCTACAAAACAAGAGGATTACTGCCTTATATATCTGCACTTAAACCTCTTAGCATATTCTATAGGACCGTAGTCAGAGCTTGTAGTTGCTGTGGTGTCCGATGAATTGGTACATTTGCTTTAGAATAGTTATTGATGGAGATAATGAGTCTTGCTTGCTTTCATTTGCTGAACTTGACAGGTTTGTGAGAGGCAAATTATTTCTCTTACAACTGCTGGAACCAGCATTGCATATCTTTAGGAATAACTTCTGCCTTGCAATGATCAAACTTGTATTTTTGTGAGAGTTTAAGAGTCTGAGCGTTTGCTGTGGTGGTATTTCTGTTACATAACATTGTGGAATACTGAGTACTGTATTTAATTGATGCAGTCTGGGGCTATTTATGTTTGAAAAGTCTAGCTTATTTTACGAAATCCTAGAGGATAGGGCCTCTAGTAGCTGAATGTTTTAGCCCCAGAGTTGTTAACAGTGTATTGCAGTATAGCTCATTATTTCATTTCCTGGTATTTCATAAACTGTCTGCAATTTTTGTTTAACTCTGGCTTTTGCCAGTAAGATGTTGCTGTCATAACATTGTTTTTTCCACTCCTTCCACCCTCATCCATGGTACAAATAGACTTGTTAAAGTGCTCTGGAAACAACTGTGGTGTGCTCTCATGATACCTTAGCTCAGCAATGAGACAGCAAGATATGTGATGGGTTCGAGAGGATGGTTAGTACCTCACAGCTTATGATGACAGTGCATCACGATTTCTAAAAATGCTGTCAGAGACATAATTGTCACAGCTCTGACCTCTTTGGTCTTATATAAATATTTTGAGGTTTCAATTTCTGTTGTGTTTTCAAAGTATGATCTAAATATTACTTTCACTGCTGGAAGGTGAGTTTTCTACATCTGGTATATTTGTTTCAGTAGTCTTTTAATTATGTATCCAATACTTTGTTTATCTCCAGAAGGAAAATCCCCTTAATTTGAATTCTAAATAATAATGATAACAACAACAAAATGTATTTATTCACACAACAAATGAAGAAATGCTTCATCTTTATGCATATTTTGATGTCTTAGAATGCTTACTTGTAGTGTTGTATTATTAGATCATAATTGGGTAATGAAAGGGTAAATGGGTTGGAAAGCCATGTGGTGAATAATGTGGTTAGTCATACTGGATTGTGAAAGCAGGACTGTTAACGTTTTAGTGAGCATGCTCATATGGTTACATGCCTTCATTTGCTTCAGTGTGACAGTGCTGGATTTAATTAGATTTTATGGGATCTAAACTTACAAAAAGGCTCAAAGTTCTGCATTCAAAATCTGACACATGAGGTGACCTTTTCTTCCTTAGAAGATAAGGGTACTCTGTGTTCTTGTGCTGGTGAATAATTGCAGAGAAGCTGTTGCAGGGCAATTGCAGCAAGTTTTGGCTAACCTTTGCAGTAGGCTTGGAGAGATAGGACATTACATGTTTTTGTACTGTGTAAGTGGGAGAGGAGGGGAGGCCGTTTGTTTAGCAGCAATGCTTAAAAAGGATTTTTCAGAAAAGTAAAACTCCATTCTGGCAGCTTCATAATAGACAGGGACAGACTATTTACCTTGGCAGCAATCGACTTGCTTTCTTAGCCTGCCTCTTTGTTGTAAATGAAATGTTCTTACATTGTCGTCTTAAATTTAGGGATTCAAACTGTACATTAGAAAGCAAAATAGATCTGAATGTTTTGAACTGCTTCTTTCTTATTTGTGCTTGTACTGCAGGTAGGCCTGCCAAACCCAAATATCATCCCAAGAAAATGACCTGAAACAAGCATATTTCCTTGCTGATGTCCTAGTGTCCTGGTTATAGCCAAGACCTACAATAACGCTGAAGTGTCAGCAGGGAACTGACTTTTATAGGAAAAAGAAATGTGGAATACTCCTCTGGAATACAGAAGTGTGGACTGTGTGCATTTCCTGATGCAGACCCTTATGGATTTTGTAATAAGATTCAAATTTTGATAATGCTCAAAAGATAGCTGTTAACCATTAGCCTGTGAGCAGGTGTGACCAGGTTGTACTTGCACAACAACTCAGAGCCACCGAGTTTTCTAAGGATACAGGTCTTCACAGCCATGCGGAGGAATGTTTTCTGAAGTGTTTTCCTGGTAAGGAGGTCAGGGCAACACGGTTTTTTCAATGAAATTAAGATAATTTGCATGTCTTCTTAGGTCTGAAGTATCAGGTAGCTTTGGCAGGAAAAATGCGTCTTGATTCAGAAACCTTTGATGTCAAAAAACGCCTGGTATTTGTTATGCAAAATCCGCATTAGAGATGGATGATCTTGCTCTAGGTTTCAGGCTCTTTTTGGCTTGTTCCTTCATCAATGTTAGGTGCGTTTCACTGGGGAAGAGCACACAAGGAGCTGATAGCTGTGCATTTGCTTATACTTCAACTGTGTGTGTCCAGCAGGCAATAGAGGTGTGAATGAGGCTTCTTTGTTGTTTTTTTTTAATTACTTAATCTGATGGTAACATGTTAATTGAATTAGTTTTATGATGGAGGTTTGTAAATTTTAGAATGATCCCTATAACATTGTTCTTAAAACTATATTTCCCTGCTGTTTGAAATGCACACTTCTAGGAATTTGATTCAAGTGTCAATACTACTGCTGGTGGTTCAGGCTTGCAAGAGGACTTTGTACTATAAATCAGGAGGATGGAACCCCGGGGTGGGGGGAGTGGGGAGGCGGGTGTTCCCTCCTGCCCCCAGGTACTCTGTATTTGTTGCAGGCAGAAGGTACTTTGCCCTTATTTGACCCATGACTTTCTTTTTTCTAAATTAGTAAAGTAAATAGGAAGCAGTATTAAATTCTGAAAGAAAACAAAAGTAATCTCAAACCCTTTGAATGTTTTTTAAAAAACTGGCTGAAGACTAAATACTAGTTTTTGTCCTTTTCTATTGCAAACAGAAAAGATAACAGCTAATTGAATGCAGATTAAATAACCTTTGTGAAGGCTAGAGTTCAGAAGAAAGATTAAAAAATGGGTTTGTGCTGTTTCTTTGTCCTCGGTGTTGAAACTGTAAGTGGTTGCTTAGGGTGAAATATGTAGTATGCCCTGTCTTAAAATCTAAGCACTTAAATTTATGGACACAATTCAGGTACTCATATTGTCCTTCTGCCCTGCAGATTCTATAGCTTGGATCCCCTTGTAGCTGCAACTGCTATACAAAAAACATTCATGCAAAATCTAAATGAACGGCTTACCTAAAGGTAAGGGGAAACATGGGTAAACTGTTGCAAGGCAAGCTGAGCTCCAAATTTGCATCATCAGCAGCTTTCACCTGATCTAACTTCAGTTAATATGAAAGTTTACCCATCTCTCATTGAAGGGTAGATTGCTGGCTTGTGCTTACTGAAGGGTAAAAGTGAACACACTTGCACAGCAGAGCAGCTAGCAAGACATGAATTAACATGCTGGTTTATCTTGCAGTCATTTGTTCTGCAGCCATAACCTGACGATGCATAAGCCAATGAAGCCAAGGGTGCTTCAACATGCATTTTTATCCGTGACAATGTTGTTTCTGTCTCTGTTTCTGACAGCCCTGCCCCTGAGCTGTCAGTGGACTGATACAGGCGTAAATGGTAGCTTTTCTGCTGGTCAAAAGAATAATAGTACTAAAGCTCTCCTTAAATTGGCTTAGGAGTTCTGTTTCCAAAATATAACAATTTGCATAAAAATAAATGGCAACAGAAATTTTAAAACTCACTTGTCTTTTCAATGCCTTTTGTAGGTGCTTGTATGGTGCTTTGGGAACTGGTCTAATGTTCAGTCTCATATTGTAATCTCTTGGATTGCAAAAGTGATGAAGGTCTTCATGTTGTGTAGGTGGTCTTGTTTTGTTTTTTTTTTCTCCAGTGGACGTGACCATTCAAATATTGAGCCGTTCTGCAGTAAGCTGCCTGTTAGAGATAACCTTGAAATGTACCAAGACCCAAAGTGGCTCTGTTTCCTCTTTCCTCCAGAAGATCTCAGTGCTTTCAGTCTTTATTAGCAGTTTGTCTCTGATGTAATGTTATGTTTTGTGATTTAATTAGATTTTGAGTTCCCTGTCTTGGCTTCTCACCAGGTTTATCTTCAAATACTGTTTTTCCATTGTCGTCTCACTCTCTGGGTCCAAGCTGGATTTGTAAAAGTGAAAAGGAAATAGTAGTTTGGGCGGTTTGATTTGTTTCTTCTTGGGTGATTTTAAAATACTTTTAATTAGAGGACAAAACTAAGTTGCTAAATATAAAAATGTCAGAGACAGATAACTTTCATCTTACATAATCCCAAAACAGTATAGAACTTTGTACAATATCAGTGATGCTGTCTGTTTAGTAGAAAATATCCTGATAGCTTGTTGCAGCCTAGGCTGGTGTCTGTTGTGTTAGCAAGCATGCTATGCTTGTATGGAAATGCAAAGAATTCAAGTAGAAAACTCTCACTCATCTTTCTTTAGAGCGCAGGGGTTTTGAGCTCCAGACAAAATTAGTAAAAATTTCAACTCTTAAATTGTAGCAAGTCATGTGCTTCTCTCCTAAATCCTCAAATACTCAGCCTGTGTGAATTGTTCTACTTAACACTTTCCCATCAGATGACAGTTCTAGTTATATAGGGCAGACATGCATGTTATCAGCAAATTAGGTGCTTGTAGGACAGACTGCTTTGCAGCGTACTCATAAGTCTTTGCATTTCAGAAAGTGTGGGCATTGGAGAGAGCTCACTGGTTGCCTGACCAGAAATTAATTTTGCTATTTGTTAGCATTTCTATCAAATAAAATAAGCTATTTTTCAGTTGCTTGTTGCCAGTGTGACCTCAAAATTAGAACATGAAGGAAAATGGGTTTGTTTTTCATTGAAAGGGAAATACTTTGGGCAAAACGCCACTTCAGCTTCTCATAGAAAGTGTAGTTGAGAAACTCCTATTCTCATCCTCCCCTGTGGATTGAGATTCCTGGTCAGAATAAATGACTGATAAGGCACCAGTCTCATGGGCAAAAGCAATGCCCAGGAGGGAGAAGTCCTACAGAATGCTCACATAAGCAAATGTTATGATAAGACAATTAGACTGTGGTTTTTCACAGGTGATGCAGTGGCTGTGTGCTGTTTTCTGTTCCTGTTTCATTGTTCACTGAAGTTTTCTAGGCTCAGAGTTACCTTGAAATTTGAAACTGGCACATTAGTCTTAACTGCATCTGACTGTATTGGTTTAAGGGTCTGTTACCCCTTTTGGCAGAATGGAGTATCCGTGCCCATTTCTCACTCTCCGAGTGCAGGGTCAGGCAGCTGGGCCGTGGGCCATGCACTGGCCACACTCCTATGCTCTTCACTGAAGCAGCTGGAGCAGCAGTTTTGCTCATCATGCTGTGGCACTGCCAGTCTGCAGCAGGGGCAGGAGTGTGTGTCTGTCCTTGTGAGCTGCAGGACGTGTATAATGTGTTCTGTTTCCTTTAGACTGAGTGGTGCCTAGACTCCTCCATCTGCAGTTTGTAGAGCAAAATGCATAACTATATTGCTATAATGCCTCTCTAAGCCTTAATGGAGAATAAATCCTTACAACTCCTCTTAAAACTTAGAGAATTGGCTTTGCAAGTTCAAAGATTTTAAAATGGCTCTTGGCTTGTAAAATAAAGAAACTGTGTTTATAGAGGAGTGTTGTGGTTTAGCCCCAGATGGCGACTAAGCCTCACACAACTGTTTGCTCATTTGCCATGATGGGATGGGGGAGAGAATCAGAAGAGCAAAAGTGAGAAAAAGTTGAGATAAAGGCAGTTTAATAGGTAAAACAAAAGCTAAAAAAAAAGGCAAGCAAAGAGAAAAAAGAATTCATTCGCTGCTTCCAGTGGGCAGGCCAGGTGTTCAGCGATCCCCAGGAAAGCAGGGCTCCATCACATGTAATGGACAAACACCATTGCTCCAAACGTCCCCGCTTCCTTCTTTCTTCCCCTAACTTTTACATGTTGAGCGTGATGCCATATGGTATGGAATATCTCTTGTGGTCAGCTGGAATCAGCTGTCCCAGCTGTGTCCCCTCACAACTTTTTGTGCCCTGCAGCCTATTCAATGGTAGGGTGGGGTGAGAAGCAGAAAAGACCTTGATTCAGTATAAACACTCTTTAGCAACAACTAAAATATCAGTGTGTTATCAACATTATTCTCAGCCTAAATCCAAAACACAGCACTATACCAGCTACTAGGAAGAAAATTAACTCTGTCCCAGCTGAAAGCAGGAGAGAGCTGCTGCTTCAGCTTGTTCAGTGGTAGGAAATGTGCATGGTTTTTATTTTGCACATATGTTCTAATCTCTGAATCTGCCTAAGTAAATTCAAGAAAATATTTTAGGTTACTAGTAATGTCAGGCATTTTGCAGCTATGAAGGAATGAAGTTAACACTTCTTTATAACTAGATAATTTTGATTGAGAATCCTTGAGCAACTTCTTATCCCTGCCCTTACACTGAATATTGAGTCTTTTTATTAGTAGTAATTTCTCCAATAGTGTCTTGGCTAATTGTAGTTTGAATCCAATAAGGATGAGCATGTCTGAAGTATAGACTGACTTGTATATAGAAATTGATACATAAGAGAATAGCATATAAAAAGCTTCGAGTTCTAGACTTTGGAAGTGTGATTACAGAACTATTTTCCCCTTTTGAAGAAGTTCATTTCTCATTTAAATGTAAGAACTTCTACCAGTAGACTAAGCAAGGGCTGGACCGTTCCACTCAGTAAAAGCATGAAACTATCTCTCATACTTAAAGAACAGCAGAAGCACCTAATTTAGGAGCAGTTTTAGAGCTATGAATCCTTGCCTTGCATGAGTGCCTTGTAAGCTTGTGCTACTGTTGTCCTGCTTGGTTGCTTTAGGTAGGTGTTCAAATTTGGGGAGACAGGTTTTCATGCTCATCACTCTTTACAGCCTCTCCTTCGTCTATTTTAGGTAACCTTATGCTCCCAGTAATAGTTATTTCTGGGTCTAATGTTTCAGTTGCTGTGGAAAGTTACTTAACAAATAATGTGGATTTGTGTTTTCTGCTTTGAAGTGAATATCTGACTTTTCTCTGAATCATTGTTCAAAATATTCTCCTTTCACAGGTACTTCTGTTCATCTTTGCAAAAGCTCAGATTTTTCACAGGGACATTTGTCATGATAGTGATTGACCCAAAGTGGCTAAATGTGTGTTTGGTACCTATTGGCAGTATTCTTATTTTTTCTTCTTCTAGGACGTGAAAATCTGAGAAATGAACAAATTACGGCAAAGCTTTAGGAGAAAGAAAGATGTCTATGTCCCAGAGGCCAGCAGGCCCCATCAGTGGCAGACTGATGAAGAAGGCGTTCGTACTGGCAAGTGTAGTTTTCCTGTTAAGGTAAGAGTTTCTGCCTTTCTTTCGGGTATCCATGAGGTACTCTTGCCGTGAATTATAATTTGGGGTTTTTTTGGCAAGCATAACCAGCAGCATGCTTCTTTACACACCTGTTTTACAGTCAGCTCTCGTTGCAAAGGATATGGCTTTTTTATTAAAACCAGGTGACTCGTGTAACAAGTGCCTCGGAAAATCAGTGTGAGATATCCTACATCATTATCTAGTTGAAATAAATCAGGTAGCTAGGCAGAGGAATAATACAATATTTGTCTTCATTTTTCTGGAAGAGCAGAAATGATAGACCTCTTGAACTGCATGGAAGGGTACTCAGTTCTCTAAGTTGAAAGTGTAGTTGCAGTTACGGTTTGACTTGTAAGGTAAGTGGTGGGTTGTGATTGGAAAGCAGTCCTTCCTCTTGAGAAGTGAAAACATTGTCAAGTAACACCTGGAGTTTTGACCAGTGCATGAGGTTAGAAGCACTTGCTAACTTCTGAGAATGCCTTCTGTGCTACAATTTTGTGTGTGTTTATTTTACAGACTGTTAATACACGTGAAACTGAAATTACCTTTTTGAATTCTGATAACTTCTTCCAGATTATGAGAGTATTATAAATAGGTATTTTCTTTCCTTTGTCCAATTCTGCTTCCCCCCCTTTTTCAGAAACTGTATTTTAATATTTTAGAATAATATTTAATATCAATACTTAAGAAATACCATAATAGAAATGAGTATAAAATTTAAGGTGTCTTGTTGCATACACTCCCCTTGTAATCAAAAGCTTTCTCCTAAAGGTACACTAATACTAGATCTACAATAAATTGGAAGCAGATGACACTTGGGGAAAGCTAATGGATTAAATATGTATGTACAAGAAACACAGTCTATGGTTCTGATGCCTGAGGACCTTTTATTAATTTTTATCTTTATTATGCTTAAAATAATTCTGTCTGATAGTTAAACATGTGATGTTGCTAGGTGGAACTCTTGAAACGGACTGTTTCATATTTTTGAAGCTGTGGATTTGTGCAGATATATAGTAAGTTTGAAGTAACTTTCACACTAGGTTATGCTCTATTGTAGTTGCTTTTACATATACTCAAGTGTGTACAACATTTCTCGTATATTGTGATTGCTTGCTGATTTGTCTTTGTCTTGTGTTATTTTTCTGCTGAAAGGAAGGAACTGTAATTTAATGCTAAACAGAGATGGTGTTTTGCCAAAGCTTTGAAAGTAACTGCTCTGTGGAAGCTCAAACTTAGATTAAGGTTTAACACAGTCTAGGAGAGAAAAGAGTTGTAAGTTTGAGGATGGTTATTTTTTCATAATTTAGGCATTATACAGGGTGAAAAGCAACGTGCTCAATTTCTAGGCATTAAGTTTTATTCAAACTTTTTCAGTCCTTTACTGAACACAAAGAGTGTGAACCACTGCTCGCTGTTTAAAGACTGACTTTTTTTAAAACTCTCAATCAGGACTTGCACTTCTAATGACAAATGCTTCCTGTATTAAATAAAGCATTCATCTATTCTGGGCACATGTACCCAAAGTCAAAAAAAGGTTTTGAGCTATTCTGTGCTGAAAAGGCATAGAAATGGATGAATCTTTGCATCCTGTCATCATAATGGGACTTATTTACACTTATTAGTCCACTTTTAGTTGGAATTCACTGAATTAATTTAATTTGTTCTTTGGAAAAATACTCTAAGCTGAACACATCTCTACATACGTTTCTTGGTTTGGTCAGAATGGTAAACTATTAATATTTAAAGAATTTGCAATTAGATGAAAACTTAAATTCAGAACAGTTTGATATTAAGAGGCGTTATACCTTATTTGATTAGAATTTATCATCCAAAATACTGTGCCTTGATATGGACAAAGTGGAAATTTTTATTAGGCTTGAGAGGCAAAGTGGGTGTTAACTGGTGTTTAATAGATACAGGCAGGAAGTATGCCATTGTGAGTGAACGAGATAAACCAGATGTAGAGTCATCGGTTTAGTGGGTGGCACTATATTTTGCTCACAGAAAGAATAGAACTTTGTCCTATTGAAGAAGAGTATCCTGTTACGCTGTTCTTGGGTATTTTTTTTAAATTCATACATTGCAGAAAAGTATGCCGTCTCCTGTGTCCTTAAACGTCTGATGGGGTGACTTTTCTTCCTGATACTCCTCAATGAAGCAGGATAAACTGAGATATTTTGGGGGAAATGGTTAATGAATAGGAGTGCATTCAAATCTGAAAGATGGTGAAAATGCCTTAATTTTCTTCAGGTTCCTCAGTGGGAATTCTAGAGTGGTCTGTTGCCTGTAATGTAGCTGCTCAACCACAGTTTAATAGTTTCGGGGTGGTGTCTGTCCTTATTCATTATGAACTGCTTTGCCTACTCCCTAAAAATCATCATCTATAAGTCTTTGGAGCTCAAAGTGTAACTGAGTGGCAAGACCAGAGTCTGGCTTTTGCAGGGATTATGAAAATTTTACCTGTGCTCAGTGAAGACCTGAGAATTGTTAATAAATATTCTGCAGCTGTGTGTAAGGTTTTCTGTTTGAAAGTAAAGTACACGAAACTAATGTAGTAGTGGCCGTGCATGTTTCTCCTAATGCTGCTATTTTATTTAGGTAAGACTCTTCTTTTTTTTTATTTTTTTCCTCAAGAGAGAGGAGACTTGTGCAAGTGTTAGGGAAAATTTGCTCTCAGTTTCTTTTGTAAAAGAAAAAGACCAAGATATATGTCACTCTCTTAAGTTGGTTTGTGTTTTAACTTCTTGCCTTTGGGCATTTATGTTTTGCCGAGAACTGGGATGTTTGTAGAGTGCTAGCGCAGATTTATCCTTTTCTAGACATTACAGAACATGTGGAAGCACTTTGAAAGTCATGTTGCAAATAGGATTTCATCCTGTCTCCAGGCTTCACTCCATTAGTGTTGGACAGGGTCTCCAGTAGCTTTGAGGATGCTGTACTGCAAGCACATTTAATGTTATTGAAAGGTTTTCTATGTTGGCATGGTTCTTGAAGCTCTTCCTGGGCGATGTCCACACTGATCCTTATTGTTAAAGTCCTTAAGTGTGCTGTTGAATTTTGAACAAATCTGATAAAACTATGGATTGCCTTTGTTTTGGTAGAGAAGATGCTCTGTGGAAAGTGTTGGTAAAACCTATCATATTGTTCTTTCCAGTGCTGTGCTCATAAATTTGGAGATGGTGATAATCATGGGTGTGTACTGTTACTTTAAGACAATGACACTCTTTTTTAACTCTGTTTAACAGTCTGTTTTTCCACTAGTTGGTGAGGCTGCGTTACGTGTAACCAGCTACTGATCATATTTTCTCAGTGATCTTCATGTGTGTTGAGGTATTTACAGATAGTTGTTCTTTGTGTTGGAATTCTGACCATACTTGTGGTGTAATCTGACACATTCAAAGTAGGGCTGTGCAATGGCTACTGACTTTCCTGTAATGTTCTTCTGTGTAAACTGCTTCAAATGCACTTTGAAAGATGCTGGAGTGTATGACTGAATGGGTTTTTTGCACTCCACTGCATCAGCAGAGACAGGTGCCTGTCTGTCAGCAAAAGTATGAAAAAGATGTGTTTAGAAAAGTGTGACTTGCAGACTTTTGCTATTCCATTGGGAACCTAAATGGTGTTGCTCTCCTAACTTCAGTGGTGTTGGAAACATGATACATTGCAGCTTTTATAGATGTACAACAAGACAAGAGTTGCCCTGTTATTAAATGGGGCACTGGTACATCTGCTGGAAAATCTGTGCAGAAGAGTATTTTCAGGGGGAAATTCTTTTTTCCGCTGTCCTAACAAACTGAAAAGTAAATACTGTGTTTCAGTAGCGAATCCTTCCTCTGAGAGAAAAACTGTGCCGGATACATGCAAGACATAGGGGCCTTAGATGAAGACATTGTATTTTAAACTATTCAGAAGTGTATTATTCTAACAGACATTACAGCTGTGCTTATCAGTGCTATAATTTATTTCTACACAATTGTATGCATCATAATTGCAAAAAAATTGAAGTTCATTGACATACACATTTTCAAATTTGCTTTCTTGCTCCAGACACTACCTCACTGAGAACATGCAGCTGTTCTATGTTATAATGACTAAAATATTTGACACTAGGGCTTCTTTTGTCTGAAATGCCTTTTCGAGTGTCCCTCTGGGTAAGTGGTTTTCATTCATACAAATGTACTTTAGAGTAACTGGCCTGTGAAATTTATATCAGAAAAATTAGGTCATTTCCTCCTACCTAACAGAACTAAACAAACCAAACATTTGCAAATTCTTAGTGGTTCTAACCTACTGGACATGTTAAACAGAATATTAACAGCTGATTGTTGTGGTTGTAGAAGACACAACAGTTGTGTGCATTTTGGATAACTTAATTACTGTCACTGTCATGTTTTTGGTGGTCGGTCTCCTTTGACCTTAAGGTATCTAAAGCTACTGTTGCCTATAGCCTGCAAGTTTAGTTGTATGTTTTTATTCTATTTAGTCCAACTGAAAGACTAGGTATATCAGTGAAAAAAGCCCATGTGGGAGAGTTACAAACCACATTTCTATCTCTGAAGTCCAGGGTTTTCTTCTGAGTGCCTGCTATCACTCAAGTTAGCCTTTCCACTGGATCTTGATTTCTGTGTTAGTGTTGATAAATAAAAATTGTATGGATAGAGTTGTACTTCCACATATAAAAGAATTGACTTGTCAGAGCAAATACTCTTCCACTGTTTCCTATGTAAACCTTGCTTTAGTAGGAGGTGTCTGTAAGGCACTGTGTTACCCTGTTTTCAAGCAGAGACAGAAGAAAAGGGTCCAACTGGCACTGAGGCCTGGGAGTATGCTCACTGGGGCCTGTGAGTGTCAGTTCTCATCCCTGGGGTCCCTGGGATGACCCAACAGTGTGTTATGTCATTAAGCCATATGTGGCCCTGCTGAAACCACTATCCGTAGGAGATGGGCCATTTCTTTCACTTTGCTTTGTGCTCTCACAC